GAGTCGCATGCTGCAAGTGCGCCCGGACCCCACGGGACAAGGGTGGAGGGGCGGGTCCCTCCAGGGCAGCCAGGCACCTGCTTTGCATGCTTTGAGGGCCTGGCTGCGAGGGCGCCTGGGGGGCGATGGGCTTCCGGCTGGCCCAGGGCCTCAAAGCGTCGCTCCCGCCCTCCATGCTCTCTTCTCTCTCCCTCCCTCCCTAGGAGACCCTGGGCCGGTGGCGCTGGTGCGCCCTCCCTGTGCTGCTGCGCTCCCAGAGGAAGCCCCCCAAGGCCCGGTACGCCCACTTGGCCCAGGAGCTGCTGGTGGACCCCGAGTGGCCCCCCAAGCCCTCCACCACCACTGAAGCCAAGGCCCCCCCTGGGCACCGGAACGGTTCATCCTGCCACGTCATCACCGTCACGTAGCACTCGCTCTGACCCCCTCCTCCCTTGGCTCCTGTGGCATGACCTTCCAAGGACACGTCCCCAGCGTCCGGCCTGGACTGACCCACCGCTTCCCCGGTGGTGGCCCTTTTGTCTGTCTTTCAGTTGGATCCCCAGCTCTTGGTCCCCCCTTCGAGGCCCGTGTTCAGGCTGCACTTTGGGAGACCTGGTTCCTGTGGGACCCCCACATCTGGGCGGGGGGTGGGGGGGCTTCAGCCACATTGGCGCACAGGAGCGTCCTGCCTGGGGCGGATGAGGGGCCGCTCTGCTCTGCCGCCTTTGGATCCGGACACGGGGCTTTTGCCACAAATAATCCCAGGGCGGATGGTGGCGAGTCCAAAGGCGAAGCCCACTCTGCCTGTCCCTCCAGCTCTGGGGGGAGCCGTGCTCAGGACCCCCCTCTCCCTATGAGGGACACCTCCCACCCCTAGAAATCCTCTCCGGAGGGGGGAGGGGAGGTGCTTCCGGGGTCTGCCAAGCGCACAGCCTTCTGGGCCATCTCCTCACCACTTGGCCACCCACTGTGCCTCTGAGGGAGGGACCCCCGTTGGCCCACCCTTCTAAAGTGGGGGGGAGTCACAGAATCGGGTGCAAAAGGGTGTGTGCATGTGTGGCAAAGTCAGTTCTAGGGTGGGCTACGCATATCACACGCAGCCTCCGCAGACCTGCTGGGTCTGGATCTGAAGAGGGACCAATCTGCAGGCCCACAAGGGGGGGAACCAGGGGTTCTGTGCCGGGCAGTTTGG